ATAAGGTTGATAATGTTGCTCTAGAGCAGCTACTAAAGAAACTGTGCAGATCAATCACAACATTATTTATGGTTGCGTTTCAGATGACGCGTAAATGCTACTTTCTGTGCGAAGCATTTTTTGCACACTTCACATTGGAATGGTTTTACACCGGTGTGATGAACACGCATGTGGAACATCATACTCCATTTATAGGATGTCACGTAGCTTTTGCACAAGTAACATTCGTAACGTCGATTTTGACACTTCGATTCATGTTGCTGCTTTTCCATCTCTTGAGAGAAGTTTCGGACGCAAACCAAACATTGGAATTTCACCGGACGAGGATTTGTGTGAACTTTTGAATGCGTCTTTAGACCAACCTTTCGTGTGAATTTCTTGGAGCAAAGGCTGCATCGGAACGGTCTTACGCCGGTGTGTACATGCATATGCATCTTCAATTGACCCTTAATTAGAGTAGAGAACTTCTTGCACAAGTGGCATTCGTAGTGTCGTCCATAGCAATTGGCTTCATGCTCCAATATTTCATCATTCCGAGCAAATCTCCTGAGGCAAACTGAACAGCTGAATGGATATTCAACGGTGTGTGTTTTCAAATGTCTTTGAAGGTCCGATGTTTGTGTGAATCGTTTGTTACAGATGTTGCACGGAAACGGTTTCTCGCCAGTGTGCGTCAACATATGCCTCTTCAAATTAGATGGCCGTGGTGCGACATGATTACACGTCGTGCAATTGTACTGTTTCTTGACCCTTTTTGCAGCTGATCGCTTCTTGTGAGATGCAATGATGACCGATCTGGCTCTGCCTTTCGCATCGATTGACTTCAATTTCGCAGCCAATGTTCTGTGACCATCATGATTCTTCTTCGTAGGCCATTTCACGCTATTGCTCTCCTTGCTTGCACTATTACCGCTTGGCTGTGTATGTTTGCTTTCTTCTGGCTTGCAATCAGCTTTTTCCACCTTTTCTGCTTTGGGCTCTGGTTCGATATGCGTCCATTCGAACTCGTTGATTCCAGGCGATCCATCGCTTTGAAGTCCATTGCTTGTATCATCGGCTAGTTCCAATTTGACATATGTTATCCGATGTTGATTCGGAATCGACACCATGTAAACGTAATCAGCTGCCTCCGGCTCGTCTTTGACATCGGGCTCTGATTTGATTTCAATTGA